ATTAAATTAAAGGGACTTATATACACCTCGAATAGCTTTTTTGTTCTGTATTTTTCTTTATTATATTATGTCACGATCCAAAATCCACCAGTCGTGATGGCACCTAACCCAACCCGCTAGGTAAGCCAATTAACAATTATCCATTTCCATTTAACTTAATAAAACAATTAAACAATAGAATTATCTAAATCTTACACATTTCCCAAGGACTGGTAATACAAATCATGAGCTTCTAAGAATAGAGTTTACAAAGCTGTTATGAAGAAAATACATCTTCTGTTTGAAAAGTACATAAACAGAATTTTATAATCTAGGCTACCGTGAACAAGAGGCAGCATACAGCGGGAACGCAAGTACGCCTTCTAATCCAGCAACCATCGAACGCAGCAACATCGGCATTCGAGATCTACACACAATGTACAGGAAGTGCAGTATGAGTACAATCGACCCCATGTACTCAAAAAGTAACAAACTTGATCTTAGGTTGAAAGTAGTGACGAGCTGGAACATAGGTCAGGTCCAACACCAATAACCAACAGCAGTTCATACAACGTAGAGCATATAACCAAGGAAATAATCTCAGAGATTAAAATGTTCAGCTTTTGCACAGTTTTTCCGAAAATAGATCCGTTTTTCAAGAATATCAGTGAAAACCCAAATCCATTATTGAAATCATCAAAAAATTATGAGATAGTTTGAAAACTGTAATTTTCTTGAAAAATTCTTCCCACAATAATTAAAAATATTTCATTTCCTTTCCAAATAACAAGTGTGAAATACCACTCTATGCCCACATATCAATGTATGTAAAAAGCCATGAATGATGTGATACCGTACAGCATGAGGAAAATGTGTCTCTATGCATGTATGCCATATATGCATGCCAATGCCATGTATCTCAGAGATGAATCATGTACTCACACTCTCAGAGTACTCAACCTTTTGTATCACACTTTCCACCCATCATACTCAATCACTCGGTACTGTATATGGCCCATACGGCCTAGGAAAATCCATCCCCGAATATATACAACATTGACTATAAGTCACCCAGTACCGAGGAAAAAGGGAAATCCAACCCTGTGGAGAAATCCATCTCCAGATATCAAATACTTCGGACAAATCCATGTCCAAGGAAATCCATCCCTCAATAATATCATCCGCGCTCAGTGGGGGTGTGCAGACTCCGGAGGGGCTCCTTCAGCCCAAGCGCTATAATCTGCACGGACAACTCACGTGCTGCACGGACAACTCACGTGCTATAGTATCAATATTAGAATAACCGCTGCGGCGTGCAGCCCGATCCCATAACTGTCACTCATAACCAGGCTCTCGGCCTCACTCAGTCATCATCTCTCCAGTCTCACCCACAGGCTCGCAATGTCATAAAAACTGACTCGGAACAACGATATGATGTATCAATAAGTAACAACTGAGACTGAGATATGATATGGATGCATGAATGTGACTGAGTATGAAATATCAACGAAATCAATGAGATGACAGCAAAAAACGACCATTATGTGTCCTAACAATATCAGCATAAAGCCTAAAATGATATCTAGCATGATGTACAGTTCATTTACTTTATCACATGGTGAAAACACAGATATCAACAAAATAGGGCCGCTATTCAGTGCCCTGGAAACAACAGAGTCACAATTCACAGGGTGCACGCCCACACGCCCGTCACCTAGCATGTGCGTCACCTCAACATCAATCACATAGCACGTAATTCGGGATTTTATACCCTCAGCACTAAGTTTAGAAGAGTTACTTATCTTAAATAAGCCAACTCCGACATCGAGCAAGCCAAGCGATGCTCCAAGAATGCCATCACGTGCGTAGCGATCTCCGAACGGCTCAAAACTAGCCAAAAGCAACTCAAATATATCAGATAAAACCCAAGGAAGGAATTACAGATGATAAAGATCGAATCCTAAGTCAAATCCCAAATCCAACCAAAAATCACACCCGGGCCCATGCCTCGAAACTCGACAAAACTCATAAAATCTGATAACCCATTCAATTATGAGTCCAACCATACTAGTTTCACTCAAATCCGACTCCAAGTCGGTGTTCAAAAGTCAAAAAATCATATTATGAAACTTTAGGCCAAAAATCCCCCCAATTTCTCTTTAAAATTCATCAACCAATTGCCAAAAATGAAGATAGCTTCATGGAATATAACCAAAATCGAGTAGAGAACACTTACCCCAATTCATCTGGTGAAAATTGGTTCAAGAATCACCTTAATCCGAGCTCCATAGCTCCAAAAAATGCAAAAATGGCCGAAACTCTCAAAATAGAGTACTTTATAATCACTGGGCGAATCAATGAATCGCGATCGCGGAAATACCCTCGCGATCGCGAAGAAGAAAATGCACTGCCCCTGAATTACTCTATGTTATCGCAGTTGTAGACTCGCGAACGCTATACATAAGCTAACAGAACTCGCGATCGCGGAAACGACATCACGAACGCGAAAAGGAAACCTGCCTCCTGACCAACTCAGCCCATAACACTAGGCGAATGCGTCCCTCTAATCGCGACCGCGAAGAAGAAACTTCCAAGTTCCAGTTCTCCCTCTACGCGATCGCATCACCTACTTCACGATCGCGAAGACCAAACGAGGCATCAGAAAACCATATACCAGCAATCAAACAAGAAGGAAAAATAGCCCGAAATCAATCTGAAACACGCCCGATCCCCTCGGGACCACGTCCAAACATACCAACAAGACCATAACATAACATGGACTTACTCGAGGCCTTAAAACAAACATAACAACATCGAAACGACGAATCACGCCTAAATCCAAAATCAATAAACTTGAAACTTCAAACTTCCACGACCAATGCCGAAACCTATCAAATCTCGTCCGATTGACCTCAAATTTTGCACACAAGTCACATTCGACATTACGGACTTGCTCCAACTTTCGGAATCGAAATCCGACCCCGATATCAAAAATTCCACTCCCGGTCAAACTTTCTAAATTTCCAACTTTCGCCATTTCAAGCCAAATTCCACTACGGACTTCCAAATCACTATCCGAACGCGCTCCTAAGTCCAAAATCACCCAACAGAACTAACAGAACCATCATAAATTCAATCTGATGTCAAATACAAAAAAGTCAAAACTTGGTCAAAGTTTTCAAATTTAAAGCTTCAAGGTGAGAATCATTCTTCCAAATCAATTCCGAATAACCTGAAAATCAAAACCGATGATTCACATAAGTCATAATACATCATACGGAGCTACTCATGCCCGAAAACTACCGAGCGAAGTACAAATGCTCAAAATGACCGGTCAGATCGTTACATATTATCCAATATTTAGTGTTATTACATTATTAATAGATATTTTTATTAGCATATTACTTTGTTTGATATTTTTGTCTGCTCGCTTTCTTTTTGTAATATAATAGGAGATATAATTTTATTACTATTGAGATAATATTTTACTTTAAATTTTATTCCATTATTCTCAATAATAATGTCTGAGTTTTAATGAATGAAACCTCTATTAAATTAAAGGAAATTATATAGGCATCGAATACTTTTTTTGTTCTGTATTTTTTTTATTATATTATCTAATATTTAGTATTATTGCATTGTTAATTGAAATTTTTATTTGCATTTTTTTCTTTAATATTTTTATCTGTTACTTTGTTTTTGTGAAATAATAGAAGATATATATTTTATTACTCTTAAAATATATTTTTATTTTAAATTTTATTCTATTGCTATCAATACTATTATCTGTAATAAATTCTCTATTAAATTAAAGGGACTTATATACGCATTGAATAACTTTTTTGTTCTGTTTTTTCTTGGTTATATTATCCAATATTTAGTATTATTGTATTGTTAATAGAAATATTTATTAGCATATTACTTTATTTAATATTTTTGTCTGCTACTTTCCTATTTGAAGATATATATTTTATTACTCTTGAAATATTTTTTTATTTAAATTTTATTCTATTGTTCTCTTATCCTATTTGTAATTTTTGTTGTATTCTTGTTTAAAAGCAGAGAATATTGCAAAGACTTGGGTAATTTAGGCGTGTTGGATTACAACTCATTGTTTAGCTTAATTTGACCCGGCTCATCTTAACTCAGATGAACTTTGAGCATAGTTGAGGAATGACTCATTTAATGAGCCAGTCCATCTTGATCAGCTCAAACAACTCATTTGTCACCCTAGCTTGGACCATTAAACATTACTCCCTTCGGTTCACAATAAGTGTCCAATTAGCTTTTTCATTATGGTTCAAAATAAGTGTCCGGTTATGTAATCAAGAAAGAACTCAATTTGTTTTTACAAAATAACCCTATGTACATATCCCTAAAAAGTTTTCTTACTCCTTACATTAAATGTTTAATTAGGGGTAGTTTAGTCATAGCAGGTATTTTTGTATAAAATTTAGTATTTTCTTAATGGGCGTGCTAAAAGCAAATTGGACACTTATTGTGAACCGGAGGGAGTATGTGTTTCTTGAACGGATAAGAGATGCATAATTACATTTAATTTCTTTTTCTTTTTTCAGTTATGACTTATGAGAAATCAAGATGAGAGTTTGAAGGCTTTTGAACAGCTGTATAATCGATCTAATTTCAAACTCTCTTAAGTCTTAACCACTACGAATGCTTCACCTATCTATACACTTTAAATCTCTTCCCACTAACTATTAATGTAATACATAAATTTCTTAAAATCAATAGTTGCAGAATTATTACCTTTATAATTTCAAAAAACGGGATAACTAGAAATTTGGGAAGAGGGCATGAGTAAACAAAACATATTCTGTCAAATTAACGTGCATTACCTATAATTTTAGTGTTCAGTATTAAATACGTATTTATTTTGAGGTTCTGCTAAATTGCTTCCCTGCGTAGGGCTGTCCTAAATATTCGCAACCTCTAACCATTCAATCGCAACAATTCTAATTTCCCATTGTTTTCTTATTTATTAAGTAAATTTCATCGTTTTCTCCTTTTTCTCTGACGATTAAGTCGGAGACTTGATATATTTACTAGTTTTTACCCTTTTCCATTCTTTTCATCTTGGTTTTCTAATTTCTTCCCTCACATTAAAGAAGAAATTTATTATCTGGTTCTCGATCTGCTTCAGAGATCAAACAGCAGTGTCATTAGGTTGTCTTCTATTACTCTTCTTCTTTTCTAGGATGTATTCTCTTTAAGGATTTCGATTGCAAATTAATAATGTTCAAGCAATTAATTTTTGTCATGTCAAAACAACATTCATTTTTTCTTTACCACATGCGACATGTATTTTCCGGATAACTCTATCTATCAAAACTTAGATCTATAAAAATAAATCAATGAGGGGATCTAGAAACAAGATCATTTTTCCTTTGCATGGGACATGACTTATTATCTTCTAATTGTTGCCATATTCAATTAAGTTTAATATATGAAAATGAGTACTGTAATTTTTATTATTTTTAAATACATCATGATTAATTTGTTCCTACTCATGTAATATAAAAGGGTGCCAAGATGGTGGCACAGGGATTCACAGTGGATTTTAATAAGCCACTCGTTTTCCAGGTTAGATCTCTTTACGTCTTTATATTCTCATACAAGAATTTGCATCATCTTCAAGAGAAACTTACATGTTTTCTTCCTAATTCTTGTCATACGTATACGAAACTATTTTATCACCGTCCAATGGAATTGTGATTTGCTTTATAGTCTTGTATTATTTGATGAAAACAAAGCTCTTGTAATTTTTTAATTAAATAATTTAAATTAACCCTTTCAACAAAAGAAATAAACGTAAAATTGTGATTTCCCCTTTCTTTTCCTTCCTTTTCTAGCTTTTCTAATAAAGCATGAACCTTTTAATAGGTCGGCCATCTTGGAGATGCATACGAGGAGTGGGTTCATCAGCCAATTATCACCAAAGAAAGCCCAAGATTTTTTGCAAATGGACTTTTAGAGGTAATTTTTAAAGTTAGAGATTTTTATGTATCTATACTACTTTAAAACTTATTTACATCAATATTAAAGATTTATCAATTATATACGAAATAATGTCTTAAAATCTAATCTTCCCTATTTTCTCTCCCTCTTCTTCATCATCTAACCTAGAAGCTTGCTACGTACAAAGTCTAGGCTCATATTCTCTGCCCCTTGACATTAAGGTTTTCTTCTATGAGCATGGACCGATTAATGGTATAGTTCAAAGGAAAATTTTATATTTTATGTTTGTCGGGGTAGAAACGGCATACAAAATATATACAACTAACATAATTATTGACTAATAGCTTGTTTAACAAGAGCAATTTGATCTCACCTCCTTCATCCATTCAATCACGAGTCACATGGGCACCTAGAATAGTGTAGAAGAATTTGTATACTATTAAATCAATAATATATATATATATATAACAGAGACGACCCATGGTGTTACAAGAGTTTTTGATGTGAAACAGTTGTTGACTCGGACCCCATGGTGGGCAATTCCTTCAGTGTGGGTACCAGTGGTAGGGTGGTTGGTTTCAATATCTGCAAACAGAGGGCTTCCTTCTCCTCACTTAGCTGCAACTCTTGTTGCTGGCATCTTTACTTGGACATTGCTGGAGTACTCTTTACATCGTTTTCTTTTTCACATGAAACCATCTGGATATTGGTACGTACCTTTATCCTATTTCTTATATATATATATATATATATTCATTTCCAAGTTTAAAGTAATTAAGAGCACGAATTATATTGCCAGGGGAAACACACTTCACTATCTTATTCATGGTTGTCACCATAAGCACCCTATGGATGGACTAAGGCTTGTCTTTCCCCCTGCTGCTACTGCTATTCTTCTTGTCCCTGTAAGTTCGTCTTATATTTTTATCGTACATTTCTGCAAGAGGTTGTTTATACGTTACAAATAGAACTTAATTCTCGATTGAAGCATTGTTTTACTTTCTTTTTTTCACAGTGAAGTTGTTCTTATATTCTGATATTATACTATCATTTACTGCAGCTATGGAGTCTAGTAAAGGTGTCAGTACCTTTCAACTATGCCCCTGCCTTTCTAGGAGGAGGTTTGTTGGGTTATATCATGTATGACTGCACCCATTACTACTTACACCATGGGAAACCATTGAAAGGAGTTTCCCATTCCCTCAAGGTACATTTTTTATCCAAGAATTTACATTGTATTCTGAATGGTCACATCTAGTATATATACATGATCAAGTAAAATAGGATAATTATCATGTTAATTATCCTGTCACTTAACTTACATTAGTTACATTAACAAGATAAATACCATTGAGGGTATGGTGGGATAATTGTGTCCATTTATCCTTAATCAGATATCTCGAGTTCGAGTCCTAAAATTAGAAAATATTCTGGTAGGAGCTTTTTTCCCCCTAGTGGATTAGTTGGACCAGTAAATTTCAGATATCGAATGTGTAAACAAAAAAGAAACATAAAATTAAATATGAGTTACTCGTGGAGATGCTTGTCTTGTAATTGTAATTTTTTTGAACTTTTATTAATGTGTTATTCTTTTTTCCTTGGTGTGATGTATTATAGAGATATCATATGGACCACCACTTCAAAGTTCAAGATAAGGGATTTGGAATCACTTCAGACTTTTGGGACAAGATCTTTGGTACACTACCTCCCAAATCTAGCAAGAAAATTGGATGAATTAAACTTAAGCTGGAGAAGTTTCTCATGAGCTGCTACAACTTCTGTTCTTTGAAGTCTAGCTGAAGAAGGGAAAAATAATAATGGCAGTGACTGTCGGAGAAAACTATAAATATGAAAAATTGCTCTTAATGTAACTAACCTAACAAGTATAGTATATGTTTTGTTTTCTATTTCTCTTTTTTTGGGGGGGTCAAATTTGTAGCCTATTTTTCTGCTTTTGTTCATTCCAATCTATAATTTCCCTTACTTTTGGTTTTTAAGTCTTTTAGGAACTCTTGCTCGCGATGAAAATACATTAGGGTGACACTAAATGCGGTTCACATTGTAAAGTAGTGTTTCTTCAAGTGTACTATGAGAAAGAAATACTTGGACAATATGTAGTCTATTACTTATCTTATTGTGAATGTCTGTTGCTTTTCTATTGTGCAATTAGATTTTGACAATAACCTTCAATATTTATGCAAATTAGTTGGTCATACAGTATACTCGATATGTTTCATCATTGCGTCAAGTAAAATGACACATCGAATAATAGTATGCTTTTATTAGTGAAAACTCTTTTAGTAAAAGTTTTTCACACAGTAAAAAGAAAGAATGAGCTGTTTCTGTCCGTGCTGTGGGTGCACAGACGTAAGCTTTTCATCTATGGCGCATAATTACTCTCTTTTCTTTTTCGCGTGTGTGATTTGTATTCTTTTCGGAATGTTTTCACTTTATTAATTAGTTTCTCTAATATGTAATACTATATGAATTTGATATTTTTGCGAGTATCCACTGATTACTCTTTCAAATTTATATGCATATCTTGACTATTCTACTGCGGACCTAATACCTCCGACTAGCACAAGTACTAAATAATTCTACCAACCAAGACTTAGGCAGCTAGAAAAAAAAAAAAAGTAATATTTTTTTATCATCCTTAAGACTGTACTCCTACTCTATCATAATTCACAAGGATAATCGCAGCTATACCAATATGCAAATTTTAATCTTTCAATCCTTTTTTTCATTGTTTTTTCTGAGACAAAGTGGAGTTTTTAATCTTTCTATCCTTTTTCACAAGAATATCTCCATTTCCTTTATACCGTTTACAAACAAGGTAAAAAGTTAAATCGTTCAATTAGTTTGTTCTCCCTAATGAATCTTGTGAAAATGAGACCTCTACGACCTTACCTCAACAACGCCACTTATTTTGCTTATTCTTGTAGTTTATACAATTATCACTATCATTATGGATTATTAAAAAAAATCCAACTTGTATTATTTTCAATCGTAACCTATTTTAAATGGTAAGTAGTTCAGTCTTAAACTATTTATTGTCTCTCATAGAAAATAATCGAAGACGGGAAGAAATGTAGCATTATATGATCTAATAATTAAAATTGAAATATTGGTCCACGCAAAGTTTTGGCCTTAAAAACCATCAAAAATGAAAAGAACTTGAACAATTCTTTTGCCAGAAGTCTTCCAACGTGTTGCCAAGAAAACCTCTGAGATCATACTCTTCCTTCATAGCATCTCATTTTGTTTGGCTGTAATACTTTTCTTTATCGTGATATTATAATCAATTAGTTCTAAATCCACAGTTTGCTATATTTTGTATATCTCTAAAATGATAATCTATCAACGTTTAATTTAGACAGAAAATTGACTCAACCTTATAAAGTGAAGCAAGTAGGTCACTTTAGGACAGGAGTACAACCTGCGCTAGTTTCTCCACAAAAATGAAATGAAATAAATAGAACCTCCGCTACATATATTAACCGGATATAATTTTCCAGTCCAATTGACGAAGGCAACTTACCCAACATGCAGTCCAACGGAAAACCTAAATACAACCTAGACGGACTGATGAAGACAATTTTTTGCAGATAGAAGACATGTAACAGCAGATGAAAGAATGTAAGGATGTAAAGAAAGATGTTTACCCTTTCTACTTAATAATGTTTAATTAAAAATCTGATTCTCTCCTCCGAAAGGAGTCATTTGCTCTTGGCTGATTTCGATTTTGGTAGCGTCCCAAACACCTTGTCCCAGAAAGATGAAGTGATACCAAAACCTTTGGTCTGGATGCGAAAATGATGATTCAAATGATATTTCTGCCAAGACAAAACAGGGAAAAAGATTGTAGGGTTAAAGATCGTTTAATCCTTTTTGTATACCGTACAAGTATCAAAAGATTTCCCACAAACTCAAAGATGAAACATCAGTGCTGAATCCCTCATTATCACACAATTGTCACCACTATTGAACACGGGAAAGGAAGCAAGTACAGATCTAAATCCGTCAGTGTCACATAGGCATTTTGCTAGACTGATGCCTCATGATACAAGCAGACATCTCAAAAACTAGACACTTGACCAGATAAAAATCATAGGTTGATATAAAGCTAGCGATATATGGGCTAAGCTCATTAGAGAATTACAAATGAGATTGAAAACATTAGAGGGGTGCATCATGTATCGCCACTTACCTTGAGATTTTTTGGCACTTCACTTGTTGGTTGTGCATGATGCAAGTAGTAGTGTGTTACATCATACATGACATACCCCAATAAGCCTCCTCCAAATAAAGCAGGAGCAGTAGAGGGAGTTGACATGAGTTTGATTAAATTCCAGAACTGCGACAACAAAGCACCGTATCAACTATCAAAAGCTCCAGGGAGTTTGGCTTAAGCGCAAAGCGCAAATTAAGTGTGGCCTTTAGTAAGAAAAAGCGCAATGAAGGAAAAAATATATATAATTCAAGAAGAGAGTAACAATTTCATTCATAATGTTCTTCTTAACAACTAATACACATATGTGCCAATTATATTTTTTTTTAGGTACCGATCGGTTTAAAATGAGCCTTTGATAACACTGGTATATACCATCTTCTCTTTTCACTAAATAGCTTTGTAACCTCTTAAAACATGATGCCAATTTGTGTGTGTACATATAATTATATCCACATAGGTTGTCAGGTAAATATTAAATAAGCTAGTTGTTCAAAATCAAACATACCGGTACACAAAGAATAGCTGTGGCAGCAGGAGGAAAAACAAGGCGTAGACCATCCATAGGATGCTTGTGATGACAACCATGAAGAAGATAATGAGCCGTGTTTGCCCTGTAACAAGTTGCAATTACGTAATATGTAAAAGAATAGAGTCGAACTGGCAGGACACTAGAAGTGCAAAACTCCCTCCCTCTGGAGACAGAAGAGATACAGAGCGTACTTACCAATAGCTCTTCGTCTTTATATGGAACAGGAATCGATGAAGAGTATATTCCATCAATGTCCACACAAAAATTCCAAGAACTACCATCAATGTCACCTGGGGAACGGTATGGCCCATCCAGATCGATACTGAGATGCTATAGCATACAACTGGGAGCCAAATGACTGGAATTGCCCACCAAACTGTGCGAGTCAGAAACTGTTCCACACATAAATCATTTCAATACTACTATAGATGGAGGTCCCGTCAAACAGAAGAATATTACATGGATTCTGGTATAAGTACAGGATTCATTTGTCTGGCAAAGGCAGATTCAAAGTCTAGCAAGTTTTCTATTTCCCTCGAGCAATTCTTACAAATGAAAGCACTTAAGTTTGTCATTCTTATTTTAGATGGTTGAGCATGGAAAATGACCCTTTTGAGTCTCATGGGCGAAAAGGATTAAATAAAGCAATACCTCCCAAAAATCACTTTCAAAAAATCGAGGTCCTTCCTTGCTAACAATAGGCTGATGAACCCATTCTTGATAAGCTTCTCCAAGGTGGCCAACCTGAGAACATATTCCAGTAGTCAAAAAAAAAAATGAAAAGCAGATATCTTATTGGTATGAGAGTATGTGTTAAATAAAAGAGTTTTACTGTTTAGTTTTCCAGTTAGGTTATAATGATAGGGGCTAAAAAATTAGGTTTGACATGACAAACAGAAGTTGGATATAATACAATCACTAGAATAGGTTTTTTATCTAAAAATGTCAGGATAGAGAACCTTCTTCTCTTTGTATATCTTTTTTTATTTCTGTTGTCGTATTTATTTCTGAGCTCTTAGGCAAGAGAAACAAACATAAGGATTTTGAGGCCTAAAGATAGATATATGATAACAACAAGTTAACAACTGGGACGACACATTTACTTTATGAGCTCAAATTACAAATAATCTATAATTACACAAATATAAAGATTTAGACCATTGGTAGCAGACAAGCATGAGGAGAAAGAAACTATGAGATAAATTAATGGCAGCATTTACTCAACTGATCTTCTAAAACAAAAATACGAAGTGCTGCAATTTTCACCTGGAAGACTAGAGCTTTATTTAAATCCACAGTGAAGCCCTGTGCAACCATTGTGGGACTTTGAAGCTAGTTGATAGGACACAATAAAAAGGAAAAAGAAAGTAATTATGTTAGGAAGGATCCAAGAGAAGATGTACTGCAAAAGGAGACGATGAAAAGTTCCACCATTTGAGTGCAACCATTTAAAGTTACTTTTTCTGATTGAGACAATATAAGGGAAATAAAAACCATCAAATAAGGAGGCAATACAGAAATCAGCCATCTGACGTTGTATATTTTCTTTCTGATTAGCTTTGAGTTAAACTTATACTTCCTCTTCAACTTAGAAATTGACGTCTTTCATTAACTAGTCATGTCACTGGGTACATGTATTAATCAACTAGCTCGAAGGATTTGCTAGCTAGTTGACTTCACCCCAAATTAGTGTTATCAAAGGCGAAAAGCGCAAAAAAGCTCTAAGGTCTGTTGGGGCTTTAAGTGCAAAGCGCAAATAAAGCGCGGGCTTTAATGAAGAAAGGCGCAAATGGAGAAAAACTACAAATATGTATGTGTAGTCCAAGACTAATTTCTATAAGTATGAATACCAAATATATGGACAAAGTAATTGAAGACAATTTACGATAAAGTGAAATATCAACTGTTTAGTGTCGCGTCTTCCGGATTACGCTCGTTAGCAAGGAAAAAGTATGCCTTAGAGCCTTGACGACAACACTGAAGCGCCCGTTAAGTGAAGCGAAGCGCTCAACATGCTTTGAGCCTCGCTTCAGGGCTTAAGCACGCCTTTGATAACACCGCCCCAAATAATATTTTGGCATATTTCATGCAAGTTTGATTACCGTGATCAAGCAAACATCATTCTCATGATCTACCTGTTCCACAACACACTCATGGAAATTAGAGAAGACATACAATTGTTCTTTGGTAGAGCCTCTGTCCAAGCACAATTCCTAGCTTAGTGACCCATTTTGAGAGGGATAAATGTTATGGCAAGAATTTCTTTTTTTTTCTTTTTTTCTTTCCTTTTTTTCTTTTTCCTTTTTTTTTTTGGTTAGTCCCTGTTAAGTTCAGGCCTAATGTTAAGGTAAGAATTCAGACATCGTTGTATCTAAACAAATATTGATCAAAAAGCAAAGTTTAAGACATGCATAGATGTACTTCAAGAAGAATAAAAATAATATTGCCTGACAACACCACTATACCAAATGTCATGTGTAGTTTAAAAAGAAGCCTTATATCATTTTGTCATTGTCATTACCATGGTTTGAATCATTAACCTTGTTTAAGTTAAACATTACAGATGCCTAAGGCTTAAAAGTAAAAAAGAGCCAACATGGAGATATTCAAAAAGAAATGCCTCCGCAATCCAGACCATTTAAGCACTCAATGCACAAATTATCAACAAAAGCTTCTATCAGACCACATATAAAAGTGAAACCTGGTAAGAATAGAAAATTTTGAATCAATAATTCACCTAAAGCAACACAGACCAACAAAATAAATATTCTCCATACACAATTGATTCATCAGATACTAGATTACTTGCAAATGTAAAACAAAACTGTAAAATTTTAAATCATAAAAGATAACCGCAAATGAAATGACTATCCAGAAAGCTGAAGCGTTTCAAATATATGGCGCTTTTTATAGTTTGGCAGATGAAAAATTAGGGAGCACTCATATTTCTAAAAAAGAAAAAGAAAAAACTTTTGCCTTGACAGTTGAAACTTAGGGAAGAACAAAAAAAAAATTACGATTTTGAAAAATAGGAAAAAGTTTGCAGTTTTGAGAAACAAAAACAACGAAAAGCACTTCTAGTTAACTGGTAAATGGGAAATCTTAGTAGGTCAGTTGGTTGGATACATGAACTTGCAGCCTCTATTCCTCGCCTAGTATTCCCCTACCCTATGTAATTAATTAGTACATATATATATATATATATAGAACCAATCAAATTTCTGTAACAACTTTGTCAACAAAATCTGAACTTTGCTCTTCATCAGAAAAAAAAAAAAAACAAATCTGAACTTTGCTCCAAAAGTAGTACAAAATTACGAAAATGTGTTTGACTTAAAAAAAAAAAAAAAAAACAGTGATTTACATAATTGGCAACCAATTCCACAATGTATCCAGCACTCAATTCACAAGCAAAAGACATAAAACCCCAATTCGGACTTATGTTGTATAAGGCTCATTAAAGCGAAACGCTCGTTATTAACATTATTTCATTCAGGCTCGAACCCGAGACGTATGATATCCGACTAAAATGGGAGATCTACTTCACAAATAGCTAAAGTTCAATAAAACTAAGAGTAATCCAAAGAGGAAAAAAAAGAAATTGAAAATAAAACACTTGCCCGCAACAATGTTCGTGTAGCTTGTGAATTTTTCAGGTCAGATTTTGACTCTGTTGAGAGGATTTCTTAGCAAGAAAGTCTCTCTACAGACTACAAATACTACTAGTCAAAACAGACACTGGGTGCTGCCAATTTAAGGTGAGATATTTTAGGAGTTCAAAAAGAAAATTTGGGAATAAGAATAAACCTTTTTCATTTATCTTTTTATATCTTCTAGTATTTGGGATGATGATTTGGATGGTTAGATCCTGACCGCAGATTGTGTTACAGCGATTTTGAGCATCTCAGCAGATCACGTTCGATTCCTAAAATTGACAGTCTGGCAGTCATGCATACAACTCATTCATGTCAAAATCGGGAAAATACTGTAGTTTTTTTTAAAGTGAGAGGTCCTTAATAGCAATTTGTAATTTTGTCAATTGTGAAAAAAATGAATTTCAAACCCTCGCCTAAACTATTATATACTTGTTTGTTAGTTCGGAAGAGGGTCAAATATGCCCTTCTATTATAAGAAAAGTAACTTTACCCTTTTTTATATTATGGATCGGTCTATAAATACCCCTAACGTTATATTAGTAGCTCAAATTGTTTACCCTAAAAATTGAATAATAACTAAACTTATAATGTGGTTTTAAGGATACGTGATTTCACCTAATACCAATTGATAAACGTAAAGATAAGTGATGAAAATTGACAATAATATAAAGCAAACCAGCGTTTGGACAGAGCCCTCGAGCTTGAATACCCTCGAGCTAGTTATGCAAGAACGATTAAAATGCAACAAGCTGATAAACGAGAGAATATAAATTAAAGAGAGAATATAGTATTGCTTTGATCTGTGTGAATGTAAAAGTGCCTACAATGATGGGGACTCCTCTTTATATAGTAGAGGGATCCTAATTATGGTATAACTCTAATTACAAAAGTGAAATCCCATGTTTAGCCTAAACAACCGCCCTTGATTTGATCAGTTCCGAGATTTCCGCCGTGATCTTCGACCGGTTACGGATATCTCGCCTTTCCGTTATTGCGCTTCGTTCAAAGTCTGTCATATATGGTCTCGACCGCTGTTGGTCTCGATCTCGACGAGCACCTTGATTCTCGAGCTCGATACCTTATCTTCGTGCTCTGACCTGATCCATTACGAGACTGACCCTCAACGTGATTCCCTGGTCTCGATTAAATGGCAAAATCGGCCAGGCCCTATTTTAACCGTATACAGATACTCCCCTCGTTTCTTAGAGTGTAATGAGAAGAAACGAACTAAGCCTTCGATTTTATGCCTCGACCATCTATGACATCATCTTTGTGACGGAAGCGACCGAAGTGTTGCGTCGGTACGGTTCCCAAAATCATTAATGAGCGTCAGTTGATGGTCGCCCACCAGTGTCTTTGAATCGTCATAGAAAACATTATAAATAGGTCTTCATCATAATTTTCTCAAACTTTACTTGCAAAACTTCCCTTAATCTTGAAAGCACTCTACTTCCTTTAAGTTTTTCAATTCTGCAAGTTCTTCAAATCCTGTTGTCAACATTTTCTCAAAACAACAAATCCCATCTTCTTCTTTCTCTGAATCCATATAAAAATGGCAAAAACATCTAAAATTGTTCCTCAAAAGGAAAAAGCTTCTTCATCGCGGCTAGCCGGCGATAAAACGTCGGTGGAGCCACGCCTCGAGGAGTGTGTTCCTAGGGGGTGTGATCTTACTTCCTACTTCAAAGTCGAGAAAAATTCATCGGTCCCTGGCCGATGTGAGCCAATGTCGAGATATATATGCTCAATAACTGAGGATGACCTCGAGCAGGTGAAGAAGGATTGCAACTGGGGAGATAAATAGGTGGTGATTCCGACCCCTGAAGAAGACAGCACTACTTACGTGAAAGGGTTTCTAAGTGTTTACACTTACCCTTTCACGCTGGGCCCTGTCGTTCCCGTCATCATCGACTTTTGCTGCCAATACCGAGTAACCCTAGGTAAAATCCATCCCTCCTTTTGGCAGATCGTTATTCTGCTTCGATTCTTCGTGGGCAAGGCGAAGGGATGCCTTTCACCCTCGACCATCTCATCAGAATGTACAGCCCTCGTCTCTATCGAGGTGGGTTAATAAGGCTTCAGTGTCGGGCTACCAAGGTGTTGTTCTCGAGCATAGACGAGGACAAGGATCGAGGATGGATGGGTTGGTTCGTCCGAGTGAGGACTTCCGACATAATCCCGGCCGAGAAGATGCCATTCCCGGAGGAATGAAACATGAAGCGTAAGTAGAAAACCCCACCCATGGCCTCCATTTACTGTCTTGTTTCCTTCGCTTTTTCTCATCGATATTCCTTCATATAATGCAACGGTTTCTTGGATGCCCGGTGCAATTCCGAACCTTGAGGGATGGGTTAGAAAACTGGCATCGACCTCTTCATATGTCGAGCGCTAGTAGCGCGATTTGGCAAGGGGCCGATGGGAGGCCAAAAATCATGGTAAGCTTCTTTTCATGTATTTGATGGTCTTTTTCTGAAATGTTTCCTTTCTCATTCACTTGATTTCTTTTTGTACATGCCTCAGAGACATTGCCGTCGTGAGGCCTCCGTCTGGGGAGGAGGAGTCCCCGAAGACGGCTAAGGATAAGAAGAGGAAAAGGGTCTCGCCCTCTGATACTCCAAAGCCCAAGAAGAGCAAGGATCGCAGGTCAAAGAAGGATACCGTTGTCCTGCCTGCGGATGCAGTTCAGCGACTATGAGATGAAGAAGAGGAGAATGAAGATGCTACCTTCGAGCTGGTGTCTCGAAAGAGAAGCGCCGAGGTCCCAAAGGCTGCTGAGCCGGTGATGATCGAAGAGGTTCAGCCTCGGACCGAGGAAATCTCGGAAGATGGCCCGAGCAAAGTCCCCGAGTCGTCTGAGGCCGAAGATGCCTCCCGCAGTGACGAGCAATCGATAGACGTACCTGAAGGGGCCAATTCTGAGGCCCTTCGAAACAAAGAAAATGCCCCAAGTGACTCGCTTGGGGCAATTGATATTAGCGATTCGCCGCCCCTCCCCACATTTTCCGAGGGGCAAATTCATGAAGCCCAGTCCATGGGGACCCCCGATGTGGGAACGGCCCACGAAAGGGAGGACCTTTTCCGTGGTTGCTTCACGGGGGTCGAAGATGCTTCCGATCTAGGCGATGCATCGAGTATCTTTGACGAGGCTCATCGACTCCCGATTCAGGTAAGCCTTAGCTTCCTTTATTAATACTACTTTTGCCTTTATTTCCTCTTGCCTGATTTTCTTTCTTTCTTCATAGGCCTTGACGCTTCATCAGGAAGCGTTTTCTAAATCCCGGGCAGAGCTGAACCGGTGTGAGGCCGATCTGAAGAGGCTCACGGAGGAGAGAGATGCCCTCAAACTTCTCTGCGGGCAAAAAGAAGAGGAGATCAAGGTCCTCCGAGCCGAATTGGCCATAGCCCATAAAGAACAAACCGACCTGATTGAGCAGGTAATGAATTTTTTTTAGAAGTGTGATGTAACCGTTCGGGGATGACGACTAATACTTCGATCATGCGGGTTCAGCAGAAGGCTGAGAAGATCGAGCAGCTCCGTGAGGAGGCCATCACGAAGGAGGCTGAGACCTTGGGATGGAAGCAAAACATGGACCGTCTTGCCTCGGAGAAAGAGACTGTTCAGGCCCAACTTTCATCAGCCGAACGTCGACTCCAAAGTTGGAAGGAGGAAAGCTTATCTCAGGCCAAAAAAATGGAGGAGCTCGAGGCTCGGTTGGCCATCGAATTGGCAAAAGCCAAATTCGAGGTTGAGACGGCTCAAGCCGATGCTGAGGCAATTGCTACTGTCTACCGATCCGATGCCGAGGCCGCTCAAGCTCGAGCATTCTGTATTGCCGAGCATGCCAAATGCCAGTCTCGGAGAGAGACTCTCAAGGAGATACATGCTCGCGACTTTGACCTTGCTGTCGAGATCGAGAGTGTGAAAGAGCTTGAGACTGAAGCTAAAGCATTTCTCTCTTCCGACGATGATGATTCTGGGAGCGTGAGTGGTTCCGACGGCGGTGAAGATGAAGATGAGGCTCCCGGGAAGGATTAGGCACTTAGGATTTTTTCTTCTTTGAATTTTTTGTGTAGGGTCTTAACCGATCCTTGTAAATATTTCCGTATATAAAAGATCTTTCTTCTTTTTGATTTGCCTTCATTTCAATTTCTGCCTCGTACAATTTCCGTTTTGACCATATCTTGAAAATTTTCATGAGGCTTAGGCAGTTTGATCGAGATTGGACTAGTGTAGTCCTTATAATCGAGTGGATATTTGCTTGGACTCGAAGTAGGACGACCCTTAGGTTTTAGTTGAGTGAGAATGATTTCTCAAACTCAAAAATGGCCCTTAGGCTCTTGAATTAGGCCGATATGGCCTTAAAAAGAATGGCTTTTCGCTTTTCAGCATAAAAAGTTAATCATAAAAATTTGTTTGTGTCTTAGCACTAGATAAATCTATTAGGGTTTTCGGGGGTTAG